CACGGACAGACAAGATCGTTTGGACCTAAAAATATAAAAATTGAAAATACTGTGGAAACAAAGACACCTACATCTTGGATACCCTTGAGGTAAGCTAAAACATACCAAACATTTATTTCAAAGTGAACTATCCCTGTAATAGACCTTCTGTCATTTTAGCCGTTCTATTAAGTTTGAATGTTTTGTTACTGTAGGAATGGGAGTCTTCAGCTTCAGCCGATACGATGATCATTTTTATGAGAGAAGCTATGCAGGGCGGCTTAAGAAGAAAATAGAGCTAAAGCAAGGAGACTATTCTGTGTTTGAAAGTTACTACACTCCTCCATTCACCAGCGTTCTCCTCCTCCGCTCCTGCAAGGTGAAGCGAGATGACTGTGCTTCTAAACTCCCCAACCCCTACACAGAAAAAAGTGCATCAATGCTTAATATATTTAAACTCAAAACCAGTGAGCAGATATTATAACAAAGATTTTTTTTATAGATGAAAAGACACTATCTAGGTCAGTGGTTCTCAACTGGTTTGGCCATGGGACCCACATTTTCCAGTGGTCGTCAGGCTGCGACCCACATTTATCAGAATTTGAACCAATCAAATGTATTTCTCAAAAATGGTTGACACACACATACAAGAACTGTCTCACTTTACTTAACATACATAGTGTTAAAGAATATCACTAACACTGATCATCAGTATAAGATAAGTGTATTAGCAACCATAGTAACCAAAAGTATAGAAAAGAAGACAAAGTATGAAAATAAAGTGGCATTTTGGGTTAAGTTTTGGCTGAAGTGCCGAAGAACATGAGCTGTTAATGAAACATATGTACACTGATCCTGATGAAAAGAATGTACATTATACAAATCATTCCCATGCAAAACACAACGTACCAATTATGTAAATTATTGGTACAGTTTTGGTAATTTCGTGACTTATTAATTAACAACGTAACTAGGACGTTGCATGCTCGTAATTTCCTTTGCTCTAGTCTAGAGTGAAGTGATCCCAGCAAGCAATTTTGCATCTAATAGCCGTCCAAACACAGCCCTGACGTCTAGGCTAAATCAGGGAAATATTTCAGCGAAAATTGAACAGATGTCCAACCATAACCCAACCATAGACTAGTCATTAATTAGATAACAAGATAATTGAATAGCAAGATATTTTAGCAAAAACGACAAGCAACCATTTCAATGTTAATTTGGCTAACAGTGACGTTAGAATAATGACACTGACATATACAGTAGCCTGACAACATCTCATCTGACAGCAGATCAGCACAATGTTTTTCTCAGGCATTCTTTACTTAAACTGCATCTGACAATGGAGTCAACAGGAGTTCATTCACGTCTTTCAAACTAAAAGTCTCGCATTTTAAAAACATTCCATACTTTGTTGTTGTTGTTGTTTCTTTGACTATCCGCGACCCACTCAAAACGGTCTTGTGACAGACTTTTCAGTTGACAAACACTGATCTAGGTCATTGTGTGGTTGAGAATGTGTATGGCTGTCTGTACTGTACATGCACTAAACTTTTTACTTGAGCTCTTTTAATCAGACCTGTTATTTGTGCATCTCTTTTAGACCCTGACTCATGAGATTGGGCATATATTTGGAATGGAGCACTGCCAGTGGCTAAACTGTGTCATGCAGGGCTCCAATCACTTAGTGGAGTCTGACCGTCGGACACTTGTATTGTGCCCCATCTGTTTACGTAAACTACAGTCTGCAATTGGATTCAAAATAGCTGACAGATACAAGGTAAGCCCAAATCTATTTGGACTAGTGTTCTGGCCCACTGATGTAATATAACATGTAATCAATCAATATACAGTAACATAGTATGTTACAGAATGTAACTATATATAATACCGCCCGGATGTATTCTACAGGCCATTCTGCACTGGATTGAAGATGGAGCTGACAGCAATGGACAACATTCAAAACCCACACAAGCCTTTCAAGAGTATAAAGACTGGTTGTATAAGTGCTTACAAATATTGGACAGTGAAACACCATAACCAAGAGGTATGATCTTTTTCTACCTGCCGACAAGCAATGTCCTGACAAGTTGAGACATGCTACATGAGATTTGGTGAGAAAGCTTCTGCTTGGAAAATACAGGCAAATTTATATGTAAAGTAGTACTTTTGGTTTGTATGGATGGATCAAACAAATTAAAGTTCCATTTCTCTCTTTTCTTTGTTTTTGCTTTTAAGATTTCGGTCAAATCAGAACACAATTTTCAGACAGCAGTCTAAAAAAGTATGTATTTATTGTTTATCTGATTTAAAGATTGTCTTTTGTGCGGAAAGAGAAGAAAACATTGCACATTCACATTCCACTGAACATACAGTAGATAATTCCTTTCCAGTTATAAAATTCAAGTCATGTGACAGTTGTTCAATAACAACAAATACAGTTTTACCTAAAGAGGTTAGTGATGAAGTGGTCATAAGACACTTTCACATTTGAATTTGGCTTTGCATTACATTGGACATCCTTCAACTTCATTTCACAGTTGCATCAACCTGAGCTCTGTAAAGCATGGAATTCACAGTAATCTCTATTTTATATATATTACGGCTGTCAAACGATTAATCGTATCCAAAATAAAAGTTGTGGGTGCACTGTAGGGCTGGGTAAAAATATCGATTCATCAATGCATTGCAATTTTTTGCGTCTCAATTCAATATCGATTCATCAAATCCTTTGAATCGATTCAGCCATCCAGGCCAGTGGCGGCGCTGTGGGCTACACTCTAGTGAGAGCGTTCAGCGTTGTAGAAGTCATGCTTTAGCAAAACAGCGCGATGATGGACAGCAGCTGCACTCCGTTCAAGCAGGCGTTCAAGACTGATTTAAGCCTGCACCAACATTAAAAGCCGACGTTTGGGCTCATTTTGGATTCCACTGTAAGCCGGGAACTATGGAAGCTTGTTTCCGCCACAGAATGGAAAATAAAAAAGGTAATTGCGACTTTTTACCTCACAATTCTGACTTTTTTTTCTCACAATTGGGAGTTTACATCTCGCAATTCTGACTTTATTTCTCACAATTGCGGGATATAAAGTCAGAATTGCGTGATATAAAGTCACAACTGCGGGATATAAAGTCAGAATTGCGTGATATAAAGTCACAATTGCGGGATATAAAGTCAGAATTGCGTGATATAAAGTCGCAATTGTGTGTTATAAAGTCAGAAATGCATGATATAAAGTCATAATTGTGAGATATAAACTATTCTGAGAGGGAAAAAGGTTGGTCTTTTTTTCCCCTTAGAATTGGCCTGATAACTCGCAATTTCTGTTAAGTGCGATCAGCTGTTAAGTGTTATTGTTTACAAAATTATAATATAATATTAGACTTTTTTTGAGTATGCACCATTTTGTGCTTCTGTTTACATTTCTTTTGTAACTTGAATGTATAGGGAAGAAAGAAATATACTTTCTACTACTTAGTTACATGCACTTTAGAGGTGTTGTTAAAGCACTGTACAGTGCTTGTCACAGTTGTGTTTGTATTCAACACATACTATATTGTACAGTTTATTCTGCTGAATAAACCATGACAAGAAACAAACATGCTGGGGTCAATTTGTTCTTTAACATTGGAAATTCCGCGCAAATTATTTAAAAATATACTCAGGCTTAATTACTTGTGTATTTACTTATTATTGAATCGATATCGAAGCTAATAAATCAATATTGAATCGAATCGAAATCGAATCGAATCGAAGCCTCAAGAATTGAAATCGAATCGAATTGTGAAATACCTAACAATACCCAGCCCTAGTGCACTGTGTATAATTATTTTATATAAACACATGTGCATGTATATATTTAAGAAATATTTTCATGTATATAGATTTATATATAATTTATATTATATATTAGGGATGGGCAACGATTAATCGTGATTAATCGCATCCAAAATACAAACTTTTATTTTGGATGTGATTAATCACGATTAATCGTTTGACAGCCCTAATATATATATATATATATATATATAAGTGTTATCCACAGATGAAAACACTGTCATGAGCATTGAAAGACTAAACAACAACCTAAATTATGGAAGCCTGTTTCCGCTACAGAATAAAAAATAAAAAAGCTAATTGTGACTTTTGTGAATTTACATCTCGCAATTCTGATGTTATAACACGCACCTGGAGATATAAAGTAGATATAAAACATGTTAATTGTGAGAAAAAAAGTCAGAATTGTGAGTTATAAACTTGCATTTCTGAGGAATTTTTTCTTTCTTTCTTAGAATTGGACTTTATCTCGCAATTGCGTGTTTATATCTCACAATTCTGAGAAAGTAATACTTTTTTCTCGCAATTAAAATGTTTTATTCTGTGGCGGAAACAGGCTTTCATACTAAACAGACACAATTCGCATTAATATGGGTTTAACATTTAGTTACAGGAACTGTTCCTGTAGTATACTAGTTAAAAGCTGACCTGAAATGAGCTGAATATGAAGTACTGAAAAGCAATCCATCACTCTCTTGCAAATATTCATGAAGGAATATTAGGGAAAAACCTTTTTAAAATAAAGCATCAACCCCATGCCATTTTTATAACATTAAGATTTTGTATTAGGCTATATGAGTTTTAAGTTGCTGAATTCAACATTATCTTTGGTCATTGCTTTACCCATCATGCCTAGTAGTCATCGCCTATAATCGCTAAAACCACAAAAATGTGGTTTCCTGTTACAGATTGTGTTTGTTGCCTTTTTATCTAGGACTCTAAAACAAAAGTCCTAGGGTTTACTTTCAAATCTATTAATAGTTTATCATGACAGCTACTGCTAATATAATTGTAATACTATAATAATTACATTTATGATCTCAGGTATAAACAATTACACATCTTAAAGGGACAGTTCACCTGGAAATTATAATTCTGTCATCATCATTTCACATCTCATGTCATTCAAACCCATAATACTTTTGCTCATCTTCGAATCTCAAATGAAGGTATTTTTGATGAAACCCGAGAGATTTCTGTCTCTTCTTTGAATGTCCGTTCCACCAAAACGTTGACACTAGTTCATAAAGTAAAAGTTTTTTGAAGAAACATTTTATATAACAGATTTAGGCTTTTATTCCCATACAAACATTGATCAATGCAGATGCGTAAAGTAAAAATAATCGCTAAATAAAGTATCAACTTGCTTGACACCGAAGAACAAAACTCTGGTTCTTGTTTGTCAATGATGACCGAATTTTCATTTTTGGGTGAACTAACCCCTTAAGCAATTATTATGAATCACAATATAGTTGTTCTATTGATACATTCAGTTGTAAAAAAAATTCCAATGTAATCAAGAGGTCTGATAGATCAGTTCAGTTAAATTCACCAAGGATGTCTTTTTTCAAGAATTGATATCTTGGTTATCCAATTCTAGGAATTCCACTGGCCTGTCTTTGTCTTTGGACACTTGCTCCACTGTGGGTTTATTCCGTCCACAATCCCTCCTTGAACACAGATGAACTGTCTTAGCTGGACGTACGAACCCAAGGAAGATGGCACCTAGTCCCATTCCCGCAGCGCAGGAGTAGAAAGCAGCACTGTACCTTTGTGTAACATCCACAAGGACACCTAGAATATTTGGGGGCAAATGCAGTAAGTTGCTTGTTTAGGTTTGCATTTTATATACTAGTAGGGTCAGTAAGATTTTTTAGGGGGAAATTAACACTTTTATTCAGCAAGGATGCATTAATTTGGTCAAAGGGTGAAAAAAAACCCCCACATTGATAATACGAAATCCAGTTGTTCTTACCTCCTAATGGTGGACCAGCCAGTCCTGCAAAGCTCTGAATGCAGACGTAGACGCCTACAGCTAAGGGCATCCTCTGGATCCCTACGACATCATCCTCGGCCAACATTGGGATGTGCGTGGATGCAATGTTCCCGAGTAAGAAGCCATAAAGCACACTGCACACTGTTAGTCCCCAGAAGCCATTTACCACAGTGAACAACACCAGGACTAGGCACATCAGTGACACGCAAACAAGAAGTACAAATATCTTCCTGATGTACCCCCAGTTCAGGACCCATCCGATTGAGAGACGTCCAAAGATCTCAGCGATGGCCATTGTTGACAGCATATAGGCAGCCTTGTCTCTGTCTGTACCCAAACTGGCGCTGAGCTCTACCACATACAGCTGTGGGGCAAAAAAGCCCAGGGTTGCAAAAAGACCAAAGGCCGAATAACATAAAAAACTACCTTCTTTTAGCACAGTCAAATCCAAGAGCTTATTTTTACTCGTAAACTCCTGTTGTTTTGGGAGGATCTGAGGTGGTTCAGCTTCTTTCTGTTCCTGCCCAGATTTGAGGTCCCGCTCCAGCTCATCGACTGACTGTACACCTGAATCTCCAGAGCTCACAGAACCTTGCATTTGCTCTTCAGGGAGAGAGTATGTGATCTTTTGCTCAGTTTCTGTTAGAGAAGTCTTTGGTTTGATGACTATGGGACGTAGCAGAGCCCCACAGACAATAACGATGCCCTGCAACGTTCCAATGACCACCATTGTGTACCTCCAGCCAATCCAGTTCTTAAGAGCTGTGAACGCTGCAGAAACAAGGAAGCAATATGAGTGACTCTTCGTGTTATAATAATAAAACTCTTGTTTTAACATAATGACCTGGAGCAAAAGCAAATAAAATATAGCCCTCACCTGGAGCAAAAGCAAATATAGCAAATGACTCTCCAGTGGAGGCCATGGCTGTGACCACAGAACGACGCCTGCTGAAGTACTGGGACAAGATTGTGACGGTTGGCAGGAATGTCAAACAGTAACCCAGTCCTACAGAGAGGAAAGGACATCTGAAAATCATTAGATGCATCTTTTCAATCAAACATATATAGCGCTGGTCAGAATTATTTGCCCCCTTGGTAAATATGATCAAAGATGGCTGTAAAAAAATAAATCTGCATTGTTATCCTTTTGTTATTTAATGAAAAATTTAGCAAAAATCTAACCTTTCACTGAATTAAAAGAATTGAACAAGATGTCCAGGACCTCTGGCAGAAAATTTGGCCCACAACATTAAAGATACAGCAGAGTATTTAATTTTCACATGGGGTACTTTTTTATCCCTGTGTGCAACAAACCCATCTTAAGTGTTTGCTGTCAAAAAAGCTATTTCATGCTGACCATAGAACCTGTCCCGTTTGAAGTTTCAGTAGTTTTTTTTTTTTTTTTTTTTTTTTTTTTTTACAGCCATCTATGATCATATTTACCAAATAATTCTGACCAGCACTGTACATTATTAGTTTTTATTGTCTTTATATACAGACAATTATGGAGAAGTTTAGTTGTATATTATATACTTATATATTAAATATAAACATGAGGGTTGAATAAATGGGAAAAAAAAATGTTTTTCCATTTATTTACAGACACCTCTCATGTTGAGAGAAATCGAGAGTAAACTTGACGGTTATTGTAGTTGTAGACTAAATGTGAGCATGCAGTTACGCATCTCACTTGCACAAAAACAGATTCAGTATTCCTTAAAATGAATAAAAATAATGCAAACTAGTGATAATTTTCAAGCCTGCAATAATTAAATATGTTAAATTATCACACAAATATACTTTATGTATTTAATCCCACTTTATTAACCAATGTCTTTGCTGCTGACCTTCAATGATCCAACTCAATCATACCTAATAAGGAAAACCCAACTCAACCTAATAAGGAAAAAGGACTTTAGATAAGCATCACATTTGTGTTTAATTTTTGTATTTTTATTGTTGAATAACTTGGATAACACGGCATAACAGTCGAAACTAATTCCATGTTTTTTCATAATATTACCAAGTGGCAGCATATATTGAAAATAGCAGAGGGGCCAACACAGATCCTTGTGGCACTGTTTAGTGACGTTATCTTATGCTATCTTATCTTATGAATATTTTTGGCAACGGTCTGATGGGACTGATCTAAACCACCTTAATGCCTGTCCCTGAATACCAGGGACAGGCATTAAGGTGGTTTTTAGATCATTCCTAGTTTCCACTGTTATGGCATGTTATCCAGTTTACAAAGTGTGGTAAACATTGGATGGCCAATCATTTTTTTTATTAAGTTCAGATAAGCTTAAAGATTGCATATTGGACCAAAAACCTCTACACTCGTCTTAGAATACAATTTGCATTTAGAAGGGTGTACGGTTACTTCATCCTCTCCAGTAAAATACATGGGTGTTATAATTAGACAGCAACTTGTCTTTCGAAAATCATATTTAATATATTACAAAAACAGCCGTATAAAACGCTGCTAAACTATGGAACATGCTATCTGTTTCTGATGCAGAAAGTCTTCAGTGTCACATGATCCTTCAGAAATCATTCTACAATGAATACTTTTGGTCAGTATAATCAGAGACTATTTATATTGAATAATGCATTCTTGGTGAATAAAAATAGGCCTTTTTTAATTTATTTTTTAAAAATCATGCTGACCTCAAACTTTTGAACGATAGTGCATGTATAGTGCAAGGCTTTACCTACCAGTCACAATCCCAATAGTGAGGTACATCTGATTGATGGAGCTGGTGAATGCAGTTGAGATTGTGCCCAGAGATATGAGAAATCCACCAAACATCACAACTGGTTGAAAGCCGAATCGATTACTCAGCACTGATGATAAAGGAGCTGAAAGGGCATAGACATGGTGGATGCCAAAGTCACAGAAATGAACACGTAAGGTATAAAGAGTCAACATGCCGCTAAGCGGAGTTCTAAAATTTTAAAGCAAAGGTGACAGTTTTTACCTGTGAAAGTCATAACAAAGACACATATTGAAATGATCCATGATACTCGACTGTTGCTCTCCCCAAATTCACTCATTAGGTCCTTGAGGAAAATCCCAAAACTTTTGATAACCCCATAAGTGAACATCTCCACCAGGAAAAAGGCCACAGCCACAATCCAACCCCAACCACCATCAGGGACCTCTGAGTACACTTTAGAGCCGAGGCAACCTTTCAGTCGGAAAATCCACTGTGCCATTTTGACCTATGACCTGTGGATGTGACAAAGAGAAATATATTAAGTTTATCTTTTAAAAGTCTATCAACTTTTACAGCCACGCACATCCATCAGTAAAATGTATTTCAACAGGTCTATCATCATTCATAAAGAGACATCTCCACAACACAACCAAGCAATATGTGGAAAAACTTAACTTAAATGTACATGGTTAATTATTCTATATGAACAATTTTTATATTTTATTTAAATTTCAAACAACTGCTATATCAGCTGTAAAATTCGTTTAACTAGCTTTAACAGGTTTTAGGGCAGAGGTTTTTGTTCGGTTGAGCATCTGATGATATGCTAGACCAGTGTTAATGTTTAATTAAAGCTGAAATAAAATGAAATATAATTATTATATAAATAAACTTAGTCACAATGAAATAAATAATTGTGCCCTTGTAATCTTTGAAGCAGTTTCGCTCAGATATCAAGTTTAAGTTAAACTTATTTAAACTTAGATAAAAATAAATACATTAAAAATGAATTAAAAGACAAAAGCACATAACCAAATGAATAAAAATCTAATAAAAATAAAAACTGAAAATGTAAACGTTCAAATACTAAAAAAAAATATAGTAGGCCTATACAAATAATGAGCTACGCTATATGCTAAATACATGTAACCAAGTTGCCTCTAAATTGTATTTCTTTTTAATTCGATAGGCTACACTTGGTATATTTAAATGTTTATTAAATGTTATTGGTAGAAAATGGCACAATCGCACAAATCAGTTTTACACTGTAGATCCACATTTAGGTGACAGGGTTTAAAAATGCATCACATACAATTTTTTTTTAAATCGTGTGAAAGTGGTTTGCTGAGAATGACTCGTCTACAAGCCTCCGAAGGAATGAACTAGGAGGACACCAGTCTATGGAGGACACCGAACTAATGACTCAGAAGACACACACACCCTCCTCACTAGTTACAAGGATGCTGCTACAGCCTTTGAGTGTGTGGCACCCAGTGGGAGCGCTGGTAGGCGCGTAGCGTTTCCAGAGGGATATAACGTCACGATAGGGGCGGCGGGACTCGAGTGTCAACAAACTGATGCGCTTTAGGCAGCAGAACAACGTTTGAAAAACTTCCAATGAAGTCATCGCTGAGGATTAGGTAAGGTGAGCCTTAATGATTCTCATAATATTATATTAAGTCATAATATAGCTTTCTATGCAGTTTAAAGCTGAGGTTTGTTGCATTTATTCTTAGTCTTAACGTTAATAATACGTAGGACAGTCACAGCAGCATTCCTATTCCAATAATAAGACCGCGAAACCTCCTGTGTGGCATGATATTGTCCCAAATAGCCTAAACATTTATTAAACCTATATTAAGTAACGTTACAATTAATTTAAAAATCATTATTTCATGTTTGAGCACGCATGTTATTATTTGTTCTTTCTAAATTACTTTGCACGTTATCAACAGTAAGGTGAGTTAGCATATCCCCCCCACCCACTTCCACCAGCTTGTCTAGCTATTAGATTCTCCTGCATGTTTTCTTAGCTCCTTGCCACGTGGTCGTTTCTATGATAAAGAGCACATACGTATGTCCTAGTGTCTTCCTGCGCACTTAACTGACCAATGTCAATAGAATGTTATATCAGTAAATATTGATATAACATTTAACAACCAAAACAAGAAAGAGTACTCACCTGTTCCTATGAGAGAGGGGAATGTGGCTGATCTTCTGCTGTTCTGTGGTGGTGTGTCCACTGCCGAGAGTGAGTCCATGTGGTGCTTGCACTGTCTCAAACTCTGAGCTCCTCTGTGGTGGGAGCTGGGAGGTTACAGCTGTTGAGTAAGTTGAGGATTGGTTTACAATCAATGTTGAATGAAACACCACACCAGCAACCCCCTTTCCCTTGAGCTAGAATGTCAGAGGAACATGCTGTGTGCCCCTGTCTCTTCTTCCCCACTATAATGTAAAGTGGGAACTGCATGAGTGACTGTATTGAACATTTTAAAAGGACTTTTGTAAAGATAAAGTTTGTTGCATAAGCCAATGAGAATGAGATCTGCTCAAACCAGACAGTGAAAAGACTCTCTTCAAAGACATCCAGAGGGCTTTATGCTATGAAAAAGTGGCAACCAAAAAGTAGCTACAAAGAGCTATTTCTGCCTAATTTATCCCTTAAAAAAATAATTTTGTTGGTATTACTTCATTCAAGTTGATTCAGTGATGTTAAACATTATATATATTGAATAAAACTAGGTAATTTAGAGATGTTACTTTTTATGTACTGTTAGTTTGACTACTATATCATTAAAACAAACTAATGGATGCACATTTATGTAATTCAAGGGTCTCTGCTACGTAGAGAAACACTTAGGCTAGTGCATAGAAAACTAGAGCATGGTACATTACACATTCTGTCAGACACCTAAAATATCAATCATATAGTACCTTAATGGCAGAGCCATTAAAATAACTATTAATTATGTATCATATATCTCTGCATTCCATATTAATTTAATTTAACATGAACCTGAAATTTAGCTTTTAAATTGAAAATTGATTGAAGGTAACATAGTTACCTAGTAACATAGTAACATTTCGGTTTAAATTAATGCTTATTTACATTTTTTTATTTTTTTTATTTTTTACTTTTGAGATCAAATGGTACCCCTGCAGACCATTGTTATTTTTAATATTGTTACTTAAGTTTTTATATTTTTAGCATTTTAATTTTAGTTCTTTTTATTCAGTTTTTGTGCTTTTGTAATTTTTATTATCATTTTCTAAAAATATATAGTTTTTTGTAATTTTTTGTATTTCTTTTACAAAATGTTAGTACATCAAATTAAACTAAATGAAAATAAGAAATTGTGCTTTGGCAACAAGCTGAAATAATAATACATTTTTTTTAAAAAGTATTTTATTTCAGTTAATGTTTATTTTATTTCAACTAATGATTTTTTTATATATATATATATATATATATATATATATATAGTTTTTTTCTCACTATTATAACCCTGCCACACGACACAACCCCTCTTGGACTGGCCTGATTCATAAATCACATTGTGTTTTATACTACTTTTTTTAATTAGAATTTGAAGTAGCAATCAGAGCATTCGTTTTTCTCTGCCAAATATATCATAATTTAAATGACTGTTTTTTATTTTTATTTTAGATTTAGCATTTGAAAATGGCACAGTTTGGATTATGTGCACTGCTCCTGTTCTCTGGACTGGTTCATCATATCAAAAGCCATATTAGAAAGGAGGACAAAACTGGTGAGACGGAACGACCCAATTTCATCATTATCTTAGCCGATGATATCGGGTGGGGTGACCTCTGGGTGAACAGGCCTGATAACTTCACACCGACACCCTGGCTGGACTCATTAATGCTGAAGGGCAAAAGGTAGTGTTGTTATTATAATTTGGCTATGCATGCATCAGTTTTGTGCCTGATTATGTCTAATTATGGGTGCAGATTCACAGACTTCCACTCTCCTGCCTCCACGTGCTCACCGTCACGCGCTGCCATCCTGACCGGAAGACACGGGCTGCGCAATGGTGTCACTCACAATTTTGCAGTACAGTCAGTTGCTGGAATGCCACTTAATGAGACAACATTTGCTCAGCTCCTGCATGAGGCAGGTTATTATACAGCAATGATCGGTAAGTACAGAAACTCTGAGAACATGCTGAGAATAACATTATTAATGTCCTGAGAGCAATGAACTCTACGCTGTGCTGTGATTAGTTCCTGATTAACAAATACGCATTGTAGCCATGGCAACTAATAAGCCTCCCAAGCTGAACTCATATGTCGTAATATTTTTTTTTCCGTTTATTTATAGTGCTTATATTGATTTTAAAACAGGAAAATGGCACCTTGGACACAATGGTTCCTACAATCCTGTTCATAGAGGTACAATTTTGTTTCTTTTTCATTGCATTTTAATCTGTTTTAATTATGCATGATATTTTAATTAATACTTAATATTTTAATTAAAAATGTATTAATAAACTATATATATATATAAAGAGTTATTTCATGAGGATATGCTTACTTTTGTGTGTTCACACTACAGGTTTTGACTATTACTTCGGTATTCCTTATAGTAATGACATGGGCTGTACTGATGAACCAGGCCTCGATCTTCCCAGCTGCCCACCCTGCATCCTTAATCAATATACTACCAGGTGTTTGTTACTTTCCAGGTCAAAACACACATCAGATGCCATATAGCCTGAGATTTTGTATAGGCCCATGTCTCGTGCTTTACTAAAATATCTAAAATGTTCACCCGCCAGGAAGCATGAAGGATGCTACACTCAAGTGGCACTACCTCTGTTTGAAAATGAGACAATAATTGAACAACCTTTGGATACATGGAGCCTTAAAGACAGATATGCCAGAGTGGCAGTCAAGCAGATATTTACAGCCAGGTAAGTTCACTGCTTCTGACTCCCAATTGTATACAGAAAGTCATATATTTCTGATTTGGATACTAACCTGAGCTCATTTCCACAGTAGTTTGACTTCATTGCAAATTGCGCTTTTGAGCAGTACTTATAATGAGTATTACTTTATATTCTGTACTATTAATATTATTATTGGTATTAAAGGTTATTAAGCCTCTTGAACTTCTTGGTAAAACATGTTAATTAAAAAGGTCTTGTACAAATTTTAGGCTCAGCACTTATGGTGAAACAAAAACAAAACAAAAACATACTTGATTAAAAATGGATTATAAAAACAGTTTTGATACTCACAGGGGCCACTGTTTCTGGACTTCGATCAGTCAATATAAGGCCTGGTCTGTAAACATGTTAGCTTGGCAGGGGAAGTTGCATTGTTGACCTTTGACACAGTCCAAGGATATATTATCATCTGTTGGGGTGTGCACAGCCAAGTCTTATTTATTTATCATTTCAGCTGTGCACTTGCAGAGAATCGAGACCTGTCACTTCACTTAAATATGTTTGAATCAATAAATTATACTGACATTAAAATGGCCAATCACAATAACAATCTGTCACGAAACTCTAGCTGGTGCATGCTGATAGGTGCTTAATGCAACTTGCTGACAATCATATCATTAACTACACAGCACAAGCTGATTGGTTCCTGTTGCATCTGTAGCCAATGATCTTGTTACTCAACATTTAACTGTGGTATTAAATTATTAATGTTTTTAAGTAAATTTAAGTGAGCAATAGATGATGAGAGATGTAATCTCTCGTAAACATGTAAAGTAATGTACAATAGAAATTGATACAAAAAGATTTTTTTAAAGGAATTAATCATTTTATTCAACAAGGATGCATTCAATTTACAAAAAGTGAGAATATAGTCATTTATAATATAAAAAAAATAGTGAGCTTTCTATTCATCAAAAAATAAAAAATAAATAAAAATACATTGCAATTTTCACAAAAATATTATAATGTGACTGGCTGGAGTAATTTTACAAATAATTCAGCGTTGCCATCATAGGACTAAATTATATTTTAGAATATATTAATAAATAGAAAACATCTACTTTAAACTGTAATATTATTTCACAATATGATTATTTTTTACTGTATTTCTGATGAACTCTAATATCATCTGATAAGCATAAGGGTATCACTAAATTGTGCCTCTTTAACAAAAATTGTCTGATGTTACTGTACAATTTGGATAATATTATATGCTTTGTGTTAATGTGATGTGTAGCATTTCTAAGAAGCAGCCGTTCCTGCTGTATGTGGCTCTTGCTCACATGCATGTCCCACTGTTCCATAACACCTTCCTAAACGTCACGACGCAAGATCCTTACACAGCCAGCCTCAGTGACATGGACTCATTGGTGGGGACAATCATCCAGGCAGTCAGCACGGAGCAGCTGGAAAACACATTGATATGGTTCACTGGTGAGTTATTTTGCACATATTTCACTCAATCTGTTCATTGGGATTAATCGCCTTCCTAAAGGCTCTGTTTACAAATTTATGAAGTGCATCCATTTAAGGTGACAATGGACCGTGGGAGCAGAAATGCCAGTTTTCTGGGCATGTTGGACAGTTTGTTGGAAGATGGCAGACAAGCAGAGGTAATGCAGGAGCTGCCATATAAAAAAGGCTGTCTTAATTTATTTATTAAAAACAAATGGCTTTTTTATGGTTTTGTAAGGTGTAATACCTTTAACCTATCATAATGGAAGATAAAAATGAACAAACATAAAATAGTTTCATTCTTGTCTTCAGTTGTTTTAGATAACAAACACTCTAATTCAATTATCGTGTTACAGTCTGTTTTCATTCTTTTGAGCAGGTGGTGGCTCAGCCAAGAGAACCACATGGGAAGGAGGTCATAGAGTTCCCACAGTGGTCACATGGCCTAAAAAGATCAAACCCAACAGCACCAGCAATGCCCTGCTGAGGTACTGGAGGATTATGAACATTGTGTAACATAATTGTGTTTGTTTTCACCATTTGATGACTAGCTTTTAATCCTTAGTGGTCTGGATATCTTCCCAACCATCCTCTCCCTCGCTGGTGTGAAACCACCATCGGATCGACGCTATGACGGCATTGATATAACATACATTCTGCTCAACGACTCTGACGAAGGGCATAGGGTACAGTCAGTTTGGATGACACTCGGCTTTACAGACCAAAACAAAACTTGCTCTCACTGGCTTTTAAAAAATAAATAAACTCTTGTGTTCCCATTATCAGAGTCTCATGCATCCAAACAGCGGCGCTGCAGGACAGTTCGGGGACCTTCAAACCGTCAGGCTCAAACACCACAAGGCTTTTTACATCACAGGTCTCTATTTATTAAGAAAAAATAAAGAATCAATTTATTAAGTCATAAAAAAAGAAATGTTTTGTATTGACATGTTTATTTTAAACTAATTAATTTATTCTTAAAAATGTAGTTAAATATGAAGTATTTCTCAATCTCATTATCTCACTCTCAAGTAAAATAAACTAATACATGAATTAATAACTAATAAATTGATTAATAAAAAGACATTTTTAAAGTATTTAATTTTTATAAAAATGCTGTTTTGTGATTTATTAATTTATTGCTTAATGTTACATTTTTTAAATTAATTTTATATTTTATAATTATAAACTTTTTATTTCTTTTTTAATAATAATCAATTTTTTTAATTGATAAGTAAACAGTTTGAAACTCTAAATCAATTGAAAAAAATGCAATTAAATGTAACATTAAAATAACAAATTAATAAGTTGCATATTAAAATTGATAAATAAACTGTAAAAGTAACTGTAAAGTTAAATGTTACAGTTAAATAATAAATTGGCAAATATAATTTCTTTAAAATAAAAATTTACATAATTTCATGTTTATAAATGAAATTTATAAATGTAAACAATAAATAACAGTTCAATAGTAAATAATTTTTTTAATTGATATACAAGTACACAATTAAAACATTAATGTATAAAACATTATTTAAATGTAACCAAAAATATATATTTAATAACTTATTTTGGCTGTTCCCATGTATAAACTATATACTTAATATACTGGTACTGGTTGGTATAATGGTTCTAATGTTCTCCCTCAGGTGGATCAGTGGCGTGTGGTGGAGGAAGTGGACAACAGCAGTATCACGACCCACCCCTGATATTTGACCTCTCTCAGGACGAGGCAGAAGAGACCCCTCTGAACCCCGAGAGTGAAGAGTACAGATCTGTCCTGAAGCAAGTGGAAAGAGAGAGGGAGGCTCTGCTATGGGACATGGCCACAGACAGGGTATCTTCGGCCGACTACACCATGATTCCGTCTGCAGTCCCCTGCTGTCAGCCAAACCACCCTGCCTGCCGATGTCACGGTCTGAAATGAGGTCAGTTGACAGCCTTGAACTCGGCACTGTTTGTCAGTGTGTTTGATCCTATCAACATATTGAAAGCACTGTCATTTTATACACGGAGAAGAGCATAGTTCAAATATTGAGTGCAATTTCCCAGAAAACCACACTACTTTATTAAGAATATGCTGATGTGTAAAGTTAAGTCTGCGGAACAGGAAACTATAGATGTGCAAGATGTTTTAATACTTTTGTATCCTGCCAGTTCATGATGAGCTAGACCAAGAATTTTCAAATCAGGGTCTACAGTCCCCTAGGGGCCTGTAAGGGGGCACTTGGGGGTCCTTTTTTAACACAGATACTGATTTTTATATTACTGTTTGATTGTGTTTTCTAAAAACTGGTCAGAAATCAAACTCATTTTTTCAGCTGTAAGAAATTAATTTTATTTATGCATCTTACATTCATTAATTTGATCATATTATTTTTATATTAATGACAAAATATATATAACATAGTAGCAACATTTATAGTAGTAGTGTCATAAATTGCGTAACAGCTGGCTTTCCCTTTCCCTAGTTTGATATCCTGTCTCCATCTTGTGGTAATACTGTTGCCATAACTGTGATCGCATAACTTACATTAATATTTCAGAAAGTAATATGGTATTATGTTTGGTTAATTACTTTGAAAATATGTTGATTCTGTCACTTGATTGATAGCACCACCACCACAAACAAATCCATTAATTACATTTCCAGGATTACTGACAAAATAAAAAAAAAATGTATTTGAATTTTAAACATTGACCCACTTTATCCAATTCATGCTTTCACATAATTTCACATAAAAGTACTAATCTTGTATTTTGTAAGGCATCTTTTAAGGCTGGAATACACTACACACTACCTGACATTCAAGTCATTAAAAACAGAACAAGCTAACGCAGAAACACGTGCCTTGTTGCTATACGAGATGCGTGACAAATGAAAACAATGCGTTCTAAAATCGGCTCAAAAGATCTAACATGTTTGATATCCTCCAAATGGATGGACTCAAACTTTAAACTCATACATTACACAAATTTCTGTGAAATCGGTCAAATCAAATCTGCAGACCGGCTCTGACTTTCAGAAACTAGCATCAATTTGTCCAGACTGAAAATCTGGGCAAAAGTCATGTAGTGTATTTCAGGCTGTAGTCGAAAATGCTTTTGGCTGCTTCAATGCGACATACTTGGTCATTAGATAATAAATATAATTGTATCAGTTGGTATAGTGAATTGTTGTTCCATTGTGTTTTCTCATGGATCAGAGAGAATACAGTTTCATTTTAGCCACTTTGTCTTTATTGGTTTGCTGTTAGTAAACACACAGGTGAATCCAAACATACAGCGATGAGCACCTGTAGAATGTAGTCGAGCCTGACAGGTGTGGTGGCTCTTCAAATGAATGACGTGATGCCAAGAATGTTCTTCCACTCTTCACAACTAAGAATAAAATGCAGAACTTCAAACTGTAACCTAAAAATCCTTTAAAAACATACAAATTATAATTTAGATTTAATTTTTTTGTAATAATGCAATTGTGCATTCCTAATCATCTTACTGTGCTCATCTGCAAAGCAAATAACACCTGTGTGTGATAAGAGATCCCCCTTTTTTAAGGAAATAAAGAAGTTCTCTTTCCTGTTAATCAACAATAAATCCCTTTTGAGTACGTTTCTGTTCAATGTAACATCACAGCAGAGTATAGACAAACAGTCAATGAGCACCTTGTGCAATATTAAGAGAAGGAAAATAAAGTACTTTACCATTGCAAACAATGTGCACTGCAATTTCTAATGTATCTGGGTTTTTCCTTAGAGCATAAAGAAAATTAGTGTTTTGACCTAGGAAATTAAATACCAAAGACGACACACTCTCAACAACTACACTAATGCTGAACAGATAGTAGTAAATTCTGTCATAATTTACTCACCCCAATGGGAGTTACAAACCTGTATGACATTCTCTATTCAAAGTGAACACAAAAGATGATATTTTGAAGGTTTTTGTCTATACAATAAATGTCAATGGGGTCCAAAAAAAACTTTTTCCAAATATTTTCTTGCGTTTCACACAAGAACGTCCTATAGGTTTGGAATAACACAAGGGTGAGAAAATGATGACAGAATTTTTGGGTGAACTTTCCCCAAACTTCCACCAGAGCAAACATGCAACATATTTTTACCGTTGGTAAAATAGGGAAGTGCTTTAAAAAAGTGACAAGTCAGTCAAAATTGGGTTTTGAAAATGCTACAATAGATAAGCATGTCATGTGGTAATCTTGTTTGACGATAAAGTTGCCACAATCATACAAACAAAGCTATTTTGATTTAGAATGGAGAAAATTAGAGTCAAGGTGCCATAGCGATTTATATCCTGCTCTGTGTACAGTTCCCTTTCTCGCTCGCTACCATGGATTCATAATTATTCGTGGCAAGTGCAATTTGCTCACGATCCTGAATGGCACATTAGGACAAGCATTATCTCTGTTTGTTCGGAAAAACACAGCCTGTCTAATCATTCAGTGTATCTTCTGTAAACAGTCTGTAACTGAAAACAACAACAGTGGACAATGCAAAAAAAAAAGTGATGTGTTCCTCCCTTTACAGCTACATTCACTCACTCATTCTGAGATCACAGTAGAAGAACGTCTTAGATGTTGACTGAGAGAGAGCTGGTGGGAGGACTCTTTGAACACAATGGTTCTAGTCTATGACCGTACCAATTCCAACGGGACTTAGTTAGTATCTGGTTGGTGGGTAATGCTGATTACCTGACTGTCCGTCTCCTGATACTGCATTGAATCAATCTCTATGGCTTGTTAACATCAGCAGAGTTTGTGTCTGGGTTGCTGACAGTCTCTGTCACGGGGTTGGTTTGTGTGCTCACTGCTTCCTCAATTCCCTCAAGTATCAAAATGCCACTGCCGGGCTGATGACATTTTGCATTGAGCTTGTTCACCTCACCTATATGCTCCACATTTGCATTCATGGCCTCTTCCTGGATCGCAGCATCTTCACTGTAGTCTTCATCACTGACTCCATTCTCTTGGACCATATAGTTCTCTGTTAATTCTACTTTATCATGATCTTTAGTACCTGGCATGTTCTCTTCACAAGCATCATGGCGTGCAACATCTACAGTTGTAGCTGCGCTTTCAAGTACCTTCTCTTTATGATGCTTAGCATTGTCTTCCTTGACAGCACTGAGATCCAGAGCTACTTTGTTATTATGGATCCTTACTCTTGGATCTTCTTCATAAAGGTCCTCTTTAGGGGTTTGTCTCACAGTGCCGTCCTGTTCAAGTCCAGCTTCTTGACCTCCCTTCTTCGCTTCATTGACATCACCAAGAGTCCTTTCCTCAATGACTCCATCTACTGAGGTTATGTAATCTTCGCCAACAGACGTTTCTTGATCAAGATCTTCTTCATTGCTTGTATCTCCTTGCAGAGGCTCATTTTGTCCATCTGTCTGTGGAGCAGGATATTCACAATCATAACTTTGTAGATCTTTGGTGACCTTATTTGATCTAATGTTTCCACCCTCTTCCTCCGTTTCTACAGAACCAACAAGATTTGGGAGGATTTCAACTTCTAATTTAATGCAATCCTCTTCCTCTTGAGGCAGCTGTTCATGGTCAATAACCTGCTTCAGGTCATGTGCAGTCTGATCTGCGTAACTCAGTCTCGACTCGGAGTCTGAAACGTCTGGAAGTTCATTTGAAGGTCCATTGAATGTGGCCCCTGGACTTTGTAATGAAGGGACGTGAGGAGCAGGACTGTGAATAGAAGTATATCATTAGGAGATAAGTGGTCTTAATGTTTCAACATCATGTGCTTTGTCATTGCGATAGGTTTTTACCTCTCTACTGATTCGTATGGAACAGGGGTGGGCCATAATTCTTGGGCCCCGGCCCCTTCCTCCTGGACCCAGCCAAGGTTGGAGGAAGCATAATTCAGAATGGCCTCTGTCACAGTGTAAGGGGTGTGACCCTGCACACAGTCCTCAATGTGCTTGACAGGAAGCTGGGTCTGCAGGAAAAGATGGAGTTGGCTATCTGACAGGCATACTGTCATGTGGAGCACCCTGTAGATGAAGACGAAATGCCAGGAATTAAAACCCCTAAACACAATTACTCATTAAGAGAGACCATTTTTTGGGCACGCCCAGCTTGTGCCCTGCGCTTAGATCTTTAAAATATGACGACTGACTAAGGAGTTAGACTGACTTATCTAAGAAGCTCTGAAGACCCCTTCTCCTTCTTTCAATGAAGTCATCGGTAATAAACGAGAATAAAGACTTTTTGGGCAGATCAGGAACAGGCCTGTGGAAAATACAGCAATGCATTATGGGTAACTGGACACATGTAAAAATTGAAAGGCACCGATTGATTTTTTGGTTTTATTAGTATGTTTTGATGGAATAAAAATCACTACTACATGGGAGTATAACATTACTTACACAGTACATTTAAACTAAATTATTTACATTTTAATTGGCATTTCTAAACAAATAATTTTTCTATAAGTATATATTTAAAACATTTTTTAATGAAGCACATTGGCTGAGACGTAGTGTTCGATCAAATGTTTGGAAACATTACTATTATTAATGTTTTTGAAAGAAGTATCTTAAGTTAATTAAGCCTGAATTTATTTAATATACATTTTAAAATAAGGGTTTTCTATTTGAATATACTTTATTAACTTTTTTTTTTAAATAACTTTTTTTCTCTTTTAAACTTTAATTTATTTTTGTGATGAGAAGCTGAGATTTCTGCAACATATTTCTGAAGTCCAGTCTTCAGTGTCACAAAATCCTTCAGAAATCCTTCTAATATGCTGATTTATTATCAATGTTGCTGCTTCATTTTTTATATAACCTGTGATATTTTTTTCTTTGATGAATAAAAAGTAAACAAAATGAACAGCATTTATTTAAAATACAAAACATTTTTTTTTACAATATACACTACTGCTCCAAAATTTAGGGTTAGTCTTTTGTTTGTGAAAGAAATAAATACTTTTATTCAGCAAGGATGTGTTAAATTGATAAAAAGTGATATTTACATTATTAGAAAAGAATTCTATTTGTGAATAAATGCTGTTTTATTTAACTTTTTATTCATTAATCTGGTAATCCTAAAAAAAAGTATCACTGGTTCCAAAAAATATTAAGCAGTGTAACTGTTTCCAACATTGATTAATAACTGAGTATATTAGAATGATTTCTGAATGATCATGAGACACTGAAGACTGGAGTAATGGCTGATGAAAATTTAGCTTTGCTTTAAAATAGAAATTTGTAAGATTTCACTATATTTTTGATCAAATAAATGCAGGCTTGATGAGCATAAGAGACTTATTTTAAAAAAAAATAGTAATGTTTCCAAACTTTTGACCAGTACTATGCGTCTCAGCCATACTACCACTTGGAAGTGTTTGTGCAAAGGAACTTACACCAGACCAGCGTTCTTTTGCAGCTTTTTCTTCAACCACACAAACTCGCTGTATCGCCGCCTCACACAGGATGTTTTGGCAGTGAATGCTTTACTGTTTGTCTGATAAATGAAACCAAGTAACCAAATTCAGATCACTGATACAGTTAACATGAAGCCTGATGAAAACAACTGTTGTAGTATGTATACAAGAGATTTTATTTTTCTTAATCTTATAATTAACAGAAGTGTGTTGCACATCATCAAAATACCAAACTTTTCAATTAAGGTGAATCTTTTTTGCCTTATTAATACACATATTATGTCATTAAAAAGATAAAGATAAAAAAAAAACAATAGAGGCATGGAAACTCCCATCAACTCCACAGATATAATAAAATGAGGACACAGATATTATTTAATCAACACCACTACAGTAAACAATACAGGACTACCAATCAGTTTAAAAAAAAATACATTTACTGTATACATATATACGTTAGTCTTTGTTGAGGAAATTATTTATAACAGTGCCATCTTGACATCTAAATTAGGCCAGTTGCATAAACTTGTGACTTAGTAAAGAACTAGTTTAACCAATTAGCAGTTAACCAAGGGGTAAACAGTTACTGTTCCAATTCAAATCACTGTTCCAATGTAAAGAAAAAAAAATAATGGCTAACTTTTAAGTCTAGTCTAAGCAGTTTATGCAACTGTCCCTGATTTCAAGTAGAACTGATCAATGAAGTACTTTGTAACGTGGAAAGAGTCACGTTATTATATTGTAATCTTGTTATATTATCAGAAATCCTTGAGGCAGAAATACTCACATGAAGGAAAATTTTGAAGTCCACAAATGAGTTCCATGACCCTTCATTCTGAACACGAGGATCCTGAACTCTCACTGCAATGAATTCCTAAAGAAAATATTAAGGAATTTTTATTTTTAATATCAACATGTATAGTTATATAACATGTATGACATTTTATACCTTTAAAAAGAGAATCCTGCAGCCCATCTTCTAAGCCTCAATATCTTAGACCCATAATATCTTATTGCTTAGGGGTTTCAGTACAATATACAGATCTGTCATTGCACATAACATAGCCGAACAGGAAATAATAAGAAAGAGATCTTACATCTTGCTCTTGACTTTTGATCATCCTATCAGAGGTAACATGGCACCATTGACAGCTGTGGAAAAACAGTGAACATGAGTCAACAACAACAAAAAACACCACCATCCCCTATCATGAATGTTTTACTAAGTCTATGAACTCACATTATTTTGTCTTTGGTTTTCCATAATTTGAGGAGAGCAAATATCTTCACAAATCCATAAAGGGAGAAATCAACAGATTCCTCAGACCTGGTAACGTTACAGTCTGTGTCTACTCTCCAAAACATCACAAATTGTTGATTTTGAGTAGGCTATCTAGGGGACACCTCCTGACTTGTTCTTTTAACCCTTGCAATGAATCATCTGCCCCTCCTCTTCCTCTAAAAACCCATTAATCATGACTATTCGTCAGCTTTGCGGTCAATAATGTGATTACCCATGATTACAGGGTAAAGTTAGCTTAAATGCGTTGAAACTGAACATGTTAATGTCAAGAAAGAGGAATATTAATGTATTGGATTTTAACTCGATATCTTTTTGTCTGTTATCTGTCACAACACTTACACCAGAGAATAACGTTAGTTAGAAGAGTAGTTTTCGCTTTATATTTAAATTGTTAAGTGCGATACTTACTGTAGTAATGCTCGATTTCCAGGTTGTAGTACAGCTAGCGCAAGTTAATTAACGTTAGCTAAGATACGAACGTCAACAAATAAAGTAAAATCACTACTTTCATCCCACCCGATCGAAAAATATTTTATGTTTTTTTCACTAAGATTGTATTACATACACAGATAAAACAGATGGGAGATATTAAAAACACGTCCAAAACATTGAGTAAGCCAGGAACGTGATCAGCTTCCTTTATCTTCAGCTGGGAAATAAACAAGCTGAGGTAAAATACTGCCATCTTGTGTTCTGGTGGTTGTTTATGGATTATTAGCATAGATTATTCGTCTGTTAATGATTATAATAAAACAATAGTATGCAGCTCACTAAGTTTGAGACTCAGACACTTTGTGCATCTTATCTGTTCCCTTATCTGTAAATAAAATGTATTTGTTCGTGGCCTTGACAAAGTGGTTTAATGGAGAATGGAATGGAATGTATTTTTTTTATAAACTGCATTTAGGCAAGAATGTTCACCAATATCACTAAAGGCTTATTACTAAAAAACTTTTTTACTATGTTTTTGGGAATAAAATGTTAGGAAATACAATATAGGCTACACTCATCTAAAGGATTATTAGGAACACCATAGTAATACTGTGTTTGACCCCCTTTTGCCTTCAGAACTGCCTTAATTTTCCATGGCATTGATTCAACAAGGTGCTGAAAGCATTTTTTTAGAAATGTTGGCTCATATTGATAGGATAGCATTTTGCAGTTGATGGAGATTTTTGGGATGCACATCCAGGGAACGAAGCTCCCGTTCTACCACATCCCAAAGATGCTCAATTGGGTTGAGATCTGGTGACTGTGGGCCATCAGAGGATGGGTACATAGTGGCCATAAAGAGATGGACAAGGTCAGAAACAATGCTCAGGTAGGCCGTGGCATTTAAACGATGCCCAGTTGGCAATTAGGAGTCCTAAAGTGTGCCTAGAACACATCCAGTGCTGCAATGTGTCTTTTGTGTGTGTGTACCATAGTCATGTTAAGCGTTCAGACACTATAGCTAGAGTGTTTCTTTTGGAATAGCAAAAACAAAAATGCTGGATGGAAACATAACGATGTGCATGAAAAAAATTTATTCTAAAAATGTGCACAAACGTAGGCCTATGTGCTTAATTTAGCCAGAAAGGAGACATGCGCATAGACTACAATGGAAACAAATTTACCACACAAATCCTTCAATGCACAACAAAAAAATCACGTGACTTTGCCTTACCAGAGAATAAGACTGATAACTGGACTCATTGGTTACATCATTTTTAATAAACTGTTACTACTGTCCCCACCCCATGCATGCAGCCATAGCATAGCTAACTGTTTTAGCATTTGCGTTTAAGTTTAGCATGAATGCAAAGCATCAAATTGAACTAGAGAAATGGCTATTTTATGATATGTAAGTCAAATAGTTGTATCTACAAAACAATGAATGCTAGGCAAAAAATAATCTTGATAAACATTTTTATTTTATTTCCTGAAAATCAGTTTCCTTGTAGTGTCTTGTCTTAGCTAGCAACAATAAGCTTACTGTATATGAAGGAAAAAGCCTAATTTAGTGCAATATTGTGCTTTTTAAATACTCATATATTAGAACTATATTTTGCAATTGTAATATGGGATAAGCATGCATAAAAACACTTAGTCTAGCACAAAATACTTATTTTGACTCAAGGGTGCAGAAATCTATAATATATATGGTATTATACAACCAATATCTTGTAATAATATTATATTGATGGTGTTTTCAGCACTTCAGAGTCATAAAATTGTCTCTGATGTCAGTGATGAAGAAAGATTCATTCTACATGACGTCTCAGTGGTGTGTTGAGCATAAGCACTTTATCCGCTGTAATCTTCTTTAGCTTCTGTTGCAAGCAGGTGGGGATGTCATATGGAGCTGCTGAGACGGACAGGGGCAATGAGACTTTTATTTCATTTGATGGCTGCTTTGAGCGTGTATTCTCGCTGGTGAGTTTCTGACAATAACAACATACTGGATCATTTGTATAAATAATTTAGTACTCCCATAATGTTGATATTTGTTCTTTTTCTACAAAAGAAATGGAGGACGCAGAGGTCCGACAGCAGAAGCTGGACAATCAGGTGCCTTTTGATTGGACATTTACTGTGTTGCATATTTTATCAGTAACATTTATTTTCCCAGTATTATTTTACCTTTTACATTATTCTCATGCTTAATGTCACGCTTGAATTAGTTCTTACTTCAAATTTAAAGTTAAATTATGGAAACTAATACAAACAAAAAATTTTTTTACTCTGAACCACATATGAGTTCATACACACAATATATTATGAAATTATTTCTACTTCATTGTGTTTTGAGGATATGCAGGCTACTAATGGCATTGCTGGGAATATGGTCTATAATAAATAACTGGATGTTTAACAGCAGTTTTAATCATGTCAACTCTCATAGCGTTCGCTCTTAATGAAGAAACAACAAAGAAGAAGGGCAGATTCCCATATGGTAACAGCAAATCAGGACATTCGTCCCAAGACACGTAAACAGAAAGCTGAGGCTGATGATACAGCTTTATTGATAAGCCAGTCTCAGAGCAACACTTCCCTCAATGGTTCGTACACACTTACAATTGACATTATTGTTAACATATAATTGTTTATTTGTAATGATATTCATTTTGTAGAGCTTTATAGAAAATAATACCCGGCCTTTTTCTGATCAGACACACAACCTGTGCAAATTTATGAAAACACAGTGGAAGAAATATGTTTAGGAGAACTGGACATTTCACCCAGGACAGAAGAGGCATCGGAAGAGGCAGCTCATTCACTTCAGGTTATCACAAAGAAAATTGATCTAGAGATCAGCCCGCAGCACAGCCCTAAATGCACTTTAGACACAGAGGGCCAAGCAGATGAAAAGAAAACTAAGAAGAAGCCTGCGAAAAAGGGGCAAACAAAATGTAAGTGCTTTCACTATTTTCTATTATCGTTTTTACATGTCTCAATGTGATGTGTATGGACACAGCTTGTTTCCACCACTGAATAACAAATAAAAAAGGTAATTTAGACTTATATTTATTGCAATTTATATATTTTTCCCTCACAATTGTCAGATATAAACTTGCAATTGCGAGGTTATAAAGTCTGAATTGTGAGATATAAACTTGGAATTCAGAATTTTCCTATCTTGCAATTCTGACTTGCAAGATAAAGTTAAAGGAGTAGTTCACTTTTGAATAAACTTTTGCTGATAATTTACTCACCCCCATGTCATCCAAGATGTCCATGTCATTCTTTCTTCTGTCTAAAAGAAATTAAGGTTTTTGATGAAAACATTCCAGGATTTTTCTCCATATAATGCACTTCAATGGGAACCAAACGGTTCAAGGTCCAAAAGACACTTTCAGTGCAAACTGCAAACTGTTCAAAGGGCTTTAAACGATTCCAGAGGATGAATAAGGGTCTTATCAAGCGAAACGATCGCCCATTTAATAAATAAATAACAAAGTTTAAGTTTTATAAGCTCAAATGCTCGCCTTGCTCTGTTCTGTGAATCTTTTTCCGATTCAATTAGTTTGTTTCGTCCGTTGAATGAACCAAATGACTCGTTGAAAAAGATTTGTTCATTTTGATGAACGAGTTCGAACAGGAGAGTCACAAACGTGCGTCACAAAACTTTTTAATTTATTTATTAAATGAGAGATCGTTTCGCTTGATAAGACATTTATTCGTCGTCTGGAATCGTTTAAAGCCCTTTGAACAGCTTGCAGTTTGCACTGAAACTGTCTTTTGGACCTTGAACCGTTTGGTTCCCATTGAAGCGCATTATATGGAGAAAATCCTGGAATGTTTTCATCAAAAACCTTAAAGTCTTTTCGACTGAAGAAAGAAATACATGGATATCTTGGATGACGTGGGGGTGAGTAAATTATCAGCAAAAGTTTTTTTTCAAAAGTGAAATACTCCTTTAAGTCAGAATTGTGAGGACTTATTGGAATTCCGATTTTAAATTTTATTCAAATCACATTTTTATGTAGTGCTTTTCACAATACATATTACTTCAAAGCAGCTTTACAGAAAACGCATGTTTCTACATTACATTCTGCCAATCAAATTTAAGCATTCAGATAGTATAATCAAACATATCTTTTGGAGCGCTTTCAGAGTATGCAGAGTCATTTTTACTGTTTGACTTCCAAGATTTTTATACGCCATAACCAGCGACTTGTCAACGTCAAGCTTAAAGTGTTATGGCAGAGCATTAAAGTCAACTAATCGAATATTCTATATTCTGTGGTGAAAACAAGCTTCTATTCCTGTGTCTTTACATTTTGTTTAATTGCACATTCTAGTTCTTGAACCAAAACCAGCATTAGAAGCCAAGGAAAATGAAGGGAAAGAGAAAAAAACAGTGAAGAAGAAGGATAAGACAAATGATTCTAAGGAGAAAGCGCAAACTGGGGAACAGTCCTGTAAGTGTACCGGAGATGTGTCTCCATTGTTTAGCATGACACAAGTTAAAGGCCATTTCCTGTTGCACAGGCCAGTGCCTCATCCATAAATAGGAAATAAGCTGACGTTGTTTTTAATAACATTCCAACTTGTGGTATTTTTCAGCAATTCAGACTGATTCAGTGGTGGAATTCAACATCAATGAAGAGAAAAAACCTGAATCACAGAGTGAGGATGAAAGAAAAGATTGGACAAAGAGCCCCGTCCCTCCTACACCAAAGAAACAACAGCTGAAGCCAAGTAAAAAATAGCTTTGTCTTGTCATATTAACCTTTTTGATAAGAGATGGTTTCTCTTTGATTAGGCCTGTTTGATGACATTAGTTTTCTGTCATTGTAGTGAGATGTCATCTCAGTGATAGTGAGGAAGAAAAACAGAACGAAGAAGAGGAGGACAAGAAGAGTAAAGCTAAAAAAACATCAAAGAAGTCTAAAAAAGGAGCAAAAAATAATAACGATATTGCTTCTTTAAACTCCAACTATAAGGAGCCCTCCTCTGACAGTGACTCTCTGGACATGGGAAAGGTGAGATTTAGTTGAAATTCATATATATATATATATATATATACTGTATATATAGAAAACACATCAGGGTCACATTCCAGCATGACAACCAACTAAATGTATAAAATGTATGCACCTCTTGATAGAAATAAATGTTGTGATGTTATTTTCATCAAGAGATGCATACATTTTTGGTCAAGATCATATATATTGACAATGCAAGAGTCAAGCACTCTGTAAAGTCTCCTCCAGCACATCCTAAAGACTTTCAATTAATTTAAAGGGTTAATTCACCCAAAAATGAAAATGATGTCAGTAATTACTCACCCTCATGTTGTTCCAACTCCATAAGACTTTCGTTCATCTTCGGAACTGAGAGCTTGATCACTCCTCCATAGGCTGCTAGGCAATTGCATCTTCTGGCCCAGAAAAGTTAGTAAAGACATTGTTAAAGGGATACTCCACTTTTTTTTGGAAATAGGCTCCTTTTACAACTACCCCAGAGTTAAACAGTTGGGTTTTATCGTTTTCAAATCCATTTAGCCGATTTTCTGATATTTAGAAGAATATCAGTAACCAGACGGTTTCTGGTCTCATTGACTTACCTACCATAATTTGAGCCTGATTAATCTTGATATTGTCTTCCTGGAGGATGGTCATGATGTATCTTACATGGTTGTTTAAGAAATGAAAAGCTACACACTCCATCCATCAGTTGCCAAGCATTTAATTTGTTAGAAACATAATCACTGCAATAATGATCCAGTCATAGACTTTTGAGCGTGTAAATCCAAACAGAAACCCTTTTTTTGTATTGTATATGTTTTTTTGGTGTATCATATATCCTTGTTTGTTCTGTCTTATCCAGTCCTCTCCTATGTCTTTGGAGGATCTGGAACAGTTTTCCATGCATCCTGCTCCAAGAGATGTGACTATTCAGTGCAGGATCACCAGAGACAGGAGGGGAATGGAAAAGGGGATCTATCCCACCTATTACCTCCACATGGAAAAGGAGGATGGGAAAAGGGTTAGCAGGAGTGTGATTGTGAATAAAGAAAATGTGCAAAAACTTTTTTTTCATCTCTTAACACATTGTGATTCTCTTGTCCTGTGAATGAGCAGGTATTTCTGATGGCTGGCAGGAAAAGAAAAAAGTGTACAACTTCAAATTATTTGATATCAATCGATCCTACAGATTTATCTAGAGATACTGACAGTTACATAGGCAAACTAAGGTGAGTACCATTATGGTGTGTTAAGTTATCAAAAATACTTTTATCGTTTGTAATTCTGCCTATGCAAAGATATATGATTTGTCTCCTCAGGTCAAATGTCCTGGGGACTAAATTCACTGTGTACGATAATGGCGAGAATCCTGAAAGGAAACAATTCCTCAAAGAAACGGATACACTGCGACAAGAGCTAGCAGCGATATATTATGTAAGATGCTAATTGTGTGCTAGTAGATGTCTACTGTAACTTAAAAAATATATTTTTTCTTTACTGTGATTGTAAAAATGTTTCATCTTTGCCGTTACACAGGAGAAAAATGTTCTGGGTTTTAAAGGTCCCAGGAAAATGATAGTAATCATTCCTGGTATGCACGAGAATGATGAAAGAGTCATTATTCGACCAAAAAGTGTGAGTATTTTATTGAAAATAAAATGTATCTTTTGAAAATAGACTACCATTCAAAAGTTTGGGTACAGTAATATTTTTTATATTTTTGAAAGAAGACTTGTGCTCACCAAGGCTGTATTTTTTTGATAAAAAATAAAGTAAAAAAAAAAGTGATTTTGTGAAATTTTATTGCAATTTAAAATTACTACTTTAAATTTTAAATATTTAAACCATGATACATTTTTTCCAGGATTCTTTGATAAATAGAATGTTCAAAAAGAACAGCATTTGATTTGAAATTGTTTATAGCATTATAAATGTCTTTCGATCACTTTAATGCATCCTTACTGAATATATGAAGGGTTCACATGCAAAAGCCTCTAAGTGCCATTTGAAATTTTCTTCTTTAATGATGATTTTTATCAAACTTGTATATTTAAGTTCAGTAATTTCACTTAAATGGCAATGATAATTACCTATTAATTGTTATTTAAGTGAAATTACTGAACTTAAATATACAAGTTTGATCAAAATCATCATTAAAGAAGACAATTTCAAATGGCATTTAGAGGCTTTTGCATCTGAACTCTTCATATATAATCATAGACTCCAAACTACTGAACGGTAGTGTATAATTTATGTCTTGGAGATTTATGCGTTTCTTACACTTCACTCAGATGAAGAATATAAAATACATTAGGTGTTTGATTCACTGATTAAAACAACTGTCAATCATGTGAATATTAATGAGGAACTCTGAACACATGAATCTCTTTTGCATTTCCCAGGAGCTGGAGTCTCTGCTCACCCGATACGAGAATGGTAACAAAGAGAATCTTGTCACCCTTGTAAATAAATCACCCAGCTGGAATGAGCAGACTCAGTCGTATGTGCTCAATTTCCATGGCCGAGTTACACAGGCATCTGTGAAAAACTTTCAGATCGTCCATCCAGATAATGGTGAGTAAGATTCATTTTGTATCTGAAATAAAATAAATGTTCTTTTATCGACATCAGTGTTTCCATGACGAACTTTTCCATAAGGTTATTTATAGAGGAAAAAGGTTCTTCAGGTCATTAAAGGGTTAGTTCACCCAAAAATGAAAATTAAGTCATTAATTACTCACCCCCATGCTGTACCAAAGACGAACGAAGGTCTTACGGGGTTTGTACAGCATGGGGGTTAGTAATTAATGACTTAATTTTCATTTTTGGGTGAACTAACCCTTTAAAAGGGTTCTTTTAAGAACTGTTCACTAAAATGTTCACTTTTGGAACCTTTATTTTTAAGACTGTATCAAATAATATATTACAATTCTCAATACTAATCCTTTTCAATGAATCTCCAGAGGACTACATCGTGATGCAGTTTGGCCGGGTAGCAGAAGATGTGTTTTCCATGGACTACAGCTTCCCCATGTGTGCTCTACAGGCATTTGCCATCACTCTGTCCTCCTTCGATGGCAAACTGGCCTGTGAATGAGCCTCATCCATCCTTAATTTCTGTTCTTTTAAAAAGGGAAACTTTGTTGTACTTTAGGATATTAAATGTTTTTGCAGTTTTTAAAAAAAAAACAAGATGTATTCTACTATCGGCAAATTAAGATGTACGATAGAAAATGTATCTGCTTTACTAATTATTCATGAATCTACAATTAATAACTTGAAAAGTACAGGGGTTGGACAATGAAACTGAAACACTGGCCAATGTTGGAGGTTTCACATCTATATGCCTGGCGGCCAATCTTCAGAGTGAAGCACGGGTGGATCAGTGATGGTTTGAGCTCCAATATCATGACAATCCTGATTGTATTTGATGGACACGACACTGCCGAGGACTACCAAACTCTTCTGGAGGATCATGAGCACCTGATGCTCAAACCGTGTATCAGTATGATCATGCACCAACACACACAGCAAGACTTGTGACAGAAGGGTTTGATGAAGATGAAAGTGACGTTGAACATCTCCCATGGTCTGACAGTCACCAGATCTGAATATTATTGAGGTGTTTTGGAGGAGCGAGTCCACCAGCATCATATAGTGACCTGGACACTGTTCTGGAAGAGGAACGGCTCATAATCCCTCTGGTCACTGTGAAGGACTTCTATCTGTCAATTGGTGCTGTATTTGGATGCAAAATGAGGCCCTCACCATTCTAACAAATTATTGTGTTGTAAAACCAGGTGTTTCAGTTTCATTGTCCAACCCCTTGTATGCAGTTTCTTCATAAATGCTAGATTTATTTCCAAGACTGTTGAAGTTGATGTTTTCTTTTTATTTCCTTCCTTTATTGTTTTTCCTTTTTCTTTGTTTCTTTGTTTACATGAAAAAGAAAGATTGGAATTTGGTAAATAAAGGCTGAATTAATTATTATGCAGTTTCAGTTTAGGTTATATCGACTTTAAAATTAAGTCATCTGATCATTTTATTTAGTAGTGGATATTTCCCCCCCAGTAGGGGGCAGTAAAAGCAGGGATTGTTTTTTCATACGTCTGCGAACTAAAATAGAAGAAGAGAGGGACAAATTCGTATACAACTGCATCGGCCTATGTTGAACACTAAGCATAACTGAAGTTTATCCATGTAGTTTGATTATTATCATTCGGGCACCTCACACCAGCGCCCATCAACAATCCTCTCTGACTGAAAGTTATTTGTGGAAGTCGGCTCTGGCGTGAAATGTGACTTTGAATGGAAACTCCCTCTTTTTGGATTTGAGTTTTTGCACGCTTTGTGAGTTTGCAGACAGATGAGCGACGCCTGTTAAGACAGGAACTTTTCATCAGGGCTGAATTTAAGATACTTCGAGAATGCGTGACCGGACCAAAGAACTGGGCAATGTGAGTAAAAAAAGGGCAGTGCACACAGGAAACCGGCTAACGAGCTAACGGGCTAACCCGCAGATAGTGTAACCTCTGCCACAACTGTGATTTATTAAAACTCACACATTCTCACGGGTGGCAGCCTGCTGCTATGTGACTGACTTGACTTTTAATGTGTCTTTATGCAGAGCGTTGAAAATGGAAGTCAAATTTCACATTACAAACTGGAAGCTAACAACCTCCTCCAGCACTGCGCTCTACTCCCGCAGTGTTTTAGGTGGTGTGTGACTTTATTTAGCCTACACACACACACACACACACACACACATACTAGCTGCAATGAATGTTTGCAGTTAAGTGATTCCCTCCCCAAGCAAATTCAAAATGGCACCCATTTTCAATTATTATTTAACTGTGTTCACCGCTGGATTTGGATTTGTCACACCCTCAGGAAAAAAAGTTTAATATCACATCCGTTAGTTAGAACACTGTCTCTTATCATAACACGGAACTATGTGCTCTTAAATTTGTCTGCTATATAAACAAAATAACAATCTTTAATATATCTCACTAGACTGCTGGTGATGCCTCGGACGAAGATGATGAAAACAGTGCTCTTATGATAAAGCCTGGATCTGGGAGTTCAGGAAATGAAGAGAAAGAAAATGAGGCTTTCTTCAAAAAGGTAATTTTTTGGTCATTGTAGCAGATTGTATGTCTAATTGGAAGTATCACTCCATCTTTCAAAAGTAATATGCACATAAACTATTAGGGAAGTCTTTGTGTAAACAACTCTAGAAATGAGTGTGTCTACCTCCAAACTGTGTTAATCGATACTTGTGACCTTGTAACGTCAGTTATTCAGTTTAAATTACATTTTTGTTTTTTAAATTGTAGTCTGCAAAGTTTCCTGAGCAAAACATAATTGTCACAATAATATCTTGTTTTTTTTTTTTTTCTTTGTATAGGTTCAGGAGATTCGAGAGGGCCTTGAAACTATTAAGAAGAAGGTGTCGGAATTGGAGAACAAACAGAAAACAGTGTTAGGAGTTGCACTTCCTGAGGACAGTGAGTAGCTTGGCTTAGGGTATTTTTAATATTTCAACGTATTTCTATGAAAAGAATATCATGGTTCTCCATGGTGTTTTTTTCATTTTAAGTTTTATCATACAACACAAAGTTCATGCCAATTAATTACCACAAAATAATACCTTTTTGTTTTATTAATGACATGTTAGGATTTTTAACATTTTGTTTATGAGTAAATAATTATAAAAATAATTTTTTACTTCACCATAGGTATGAAAAAGGAACTTCAGTCCCTCAGAGAAGACATCAAAGTCAGGGCCAGCCAGATCCAAAAGAAGTTAAAAGGTGAGACTTCTTAATAAACAAAAGTGGTTGCTATTGAACTTTTTCCGCCGGACCTGGTGGATGTGAAAAATTAAACGATACATTTACGTCACAGGCATCGAACCCAAGAAAGCTGAAGGCGAAGACAAATATATTCCAATAAACGTTAGAATGCGTCGCACTCAGGTAAGTTACTTTTAATTTATATTACATATCATTTATTGTATGTAAATGGTTGTTTTGGCACAGAATAATCTGCTCCTCCTTTTTTCTTTTGAAAGCATGGTGTTCTGTCCCGTGAATTTCTGGAATTGATGGGTCACTGTAATACAATTCAATCCCATTACAGAGACCGAAATGTGGAGAGGATACAAAGACAACTCAAAATCAGTACGTGCCTTTTCTGTCATGTTTTATTACCTTGATAATACTAGCGTTCTGACACAGGTCTCTCATAATATAGTCACATTTAAACACATTTTTTTTTTGAGTAAATCAACAATGCTCGGTATTAGTATAAGACCAAGACTTCTGCCATATCAGCCAGTGAAACATAAAACAAAGAAAATATTTGCTACTGATGCTTCATAATATGCATTATTCCTGTTAAATAAATAAAACTAATGTGAATCTGATATCCCTTACAGCTGGTAGCAATGTCACAGATGATGAGCTGGAATCAATGCTTGAGAGTGGACAAACAGATGTTTTCACACAAAATGTAAGTGTGTTGTTTTGTATAGTGTGCATGTATTGATGTGAATGATAGGTGTGAGTCTTGCATTTTGCTTATATAAATATTCATGGTTTAATTTTCTATAATTACCTGAAAAAACAGTGCACAGCAGAGTGATATTATTTATTACAGTCTTCTTATTACTTAATGCCACATTTCAAGTCTTCTCTTTTGCTTTCTTTGGAATGGATGTTTATTTTGGGTAAGATCCTTTTAGAAACAGTTCCTTATGAAATTCAACTTGATGCTATTTCTTGTTTTTGATGAAGTTGATTAACCTGTCTGGCCCTTTAGTGATATAACCATTTATAATAAATAGGGAAACTTCAGTTGAAAGTATCTTGGTATGTTTTTCTTTTATAAATTCAAGATTAAGGAAATCTGTGTTGTCAACGTCATTAAAAGCATCATAGAAGTAAATGCCTCTCATTTTCAGCACCTCCTTTTTAATTATTTTTTTATTTCACTTCCCTTTTAGGCTTTTGATTACAGTCAGTCTTGCCTCCCAGCTTATATATTTAGTTTTCTAGAACCCTTCCACCCCTTTGAAGCATCATCACCACAAGACATTTTACTGTATTGTCCTATGTCACGTGATCACATATCACCTAGCGTGATCACCTAGCATTTTGGTGGCCCTTTCTTCTTTGTGACAATCATCTGTCAGAAACAAAAGTTACATTGTGTACAGAGATAACCATGATAACGTCTGTATTCCTTCTGTTCCATTAACGCCACCTACTGTCAAAGTTAATTTGCATTTTATTTCAGCCTGTCTGCTGCTTTTTTTTCTTTTTAAAGCTACACTGTGTGATTTTTACCCCCATCTAGTGGTGAAAATGTATATGACCATCCAGTGAATATTAGTTTCTGTTCCTCTCAATTCCGATTTCGTTTTAACTCCTACGGTGGCCAATGTAGTCCAAGATTAACATGGCTTCCAGTTCGACCTCGTCCATGAGGGTTAACTCAAACGTAAACGTGAAAAGTGAAGCTTGAATTAACGGGTATGTCCCTCTTTGGCTAATGTACATTCAAGATGGAGGGGCAAAATGGCGACCGACATTAGAACCCCTTACCCGTGTGTATTTTCAATGGCATATTATACACTCACGAGAATACTTTATTACTTGAACGAAGTAAATATACATTAATGAGCACATATATTTTTGAAAGAACTAAGTGTTTTTAGCTAAGAATAAACTAAAAGAGTTACACAGTGTAGCTTTAAGATCAATGCTAAAATCAGACTGATTTTACGTAAATACGCAATGTTGAAAAATGTAACTGGTCAATGGAGAAGGAGCTATTGCGACTGACTGACACAAGCAAACTTTATCAAAGTTATTATTTCCAAGCATTACTGTCTGAACCGCTGGTGGCCACAGGGGACCTCATGCAACCACTTATTAGGTAGCACTAGAGGCCCTGTCCCAATAGCACCTTTAAGCACTCGCAGTCTTCCTCTGAGTCCGCACTTTCGAGACTTAAGTTACGTAACGCCAAAAGTGTGCATCAAGGGCGCATATTGACCGCAAAGGAGAATACCCTACATGGAGTCCACAAGACTGAAAGTGCATATGAAGTGTGCCATTTTGATGTGTGATCATGTGAAAAATCCAGATTTACAACACAAGCCATGTAAAGGGCTCTTAAAGGAGTAGTTCACTTTTAAAAAAACTTTTGCTGATAATTTACTCACCCCCATGTCGTCCAAGATGTCCACGTCTTTCTTTCTTCAGTCGAAAAGAAATTAAGGTTTTTGGTGAAAAATTAAAATAATTCCAGGATTTTCTCCATATAATGGACTTCATTGGGAACCAAACGGTTCAAGGTCCAAATGAGAGTTTCAGTGAAGCTTCAAAGGGCTTTAAATGACACCAGATGATGAATAAGGGTCTTATCTATTGTAGGACCCTTCGAGTCATGCCTTCGAAAAAAGATTTGTTCATTTTGATGAATGAGTTTGAACAGGAGAGTCACGAAAGCTCATCACAGAACAAGGTGAGCATTTAAGCTTATAAAACTTTAACTTTTTATTTATTTTTTAAATGAGCGATAGTTTCGCTAGATAAGACCCTTATTCATCATCTAGTGTCGTTTAAAGCCCTTTGAAGCTGCACTGAAACTCTCATTTGGACCTTGAACCGTTTGGTTCCCGATGAAGTCCATTATATGAAGAAAATCCTGGAATGTTTTCATTAAAAAACGTAACTTCTTTTCTACTGAAGAAAGAAAGGGGTGAGTAAATTATAAGCAATTTTTTTTAAAAGTGAACTACTCGTTTAACCCTGGTGTAAAATCAAATCTTTCTTGCAGATTTTGAATGATGCTAAAGCTACCAGGCAGGCTCTGAACGAGATTGAGTCGAGGCATGATGAGATCATCAAACTGGAGAGAAGCATCAAAGAACTACATGATATGTTTCAGTACCTTGCAATGGAGGTGGAAGCACAGGTGAGATCAACACAATGGTTATATTTAGTACATTCCATAGATGTCAAGCAAATTAAAAATATAATGTCCTATCAATTTAGTAACAGTGATGTTTAATAAATGTCAGTTTTTTACCCATATTTTTACTTTAAATTTGTTTTTCCCAGGGTGAGATGGTGGACCGCATTGAGGAGAACATTAAGAGTTCCCATAACTATGTGGAAAAGGCTGTTGCGGAGACAGCTGCTGCTGTAAAAACTTCAAAAAAAGTGCGCAAGGTGAGTCGATGATTTGATTATTTATTTATTTATTTATTGGCGTGACAACATTAAATCATTGACAAGTGATCATGATGGCTTGTTTTTTGGCTTGTTTTTCTACAGAAAAAGATATGGATTGCAATATGCATTGCTATTTTACTTTTAATTATAGTTATTGCCCTGGCTGTCTCTTTTAGCTGAGGTGAGTCCCATCAATTGTTTAAAATTTATGCGAAATTCAAATTCAGGTGAAAGGTGTCTGTTATAGCCAAATATCTTACACCTATTTTTTTACTATTCATATTTATTTGATTTAAATCTTTTTTTTTTTTCTTACAGTGTTTTCCTTTATTAGACTTCTTTGCCCACCAAGCACTGGGGTTTTCTTCCTAAACTTCTTCCTGAAGTCCCCAATGCAAATAACATGGCCATGCTCATGACCATTATTGCTGTCCCAAATCTAGCGACATGTATTTAAATTTTAAAGTGTTAATTAGTTGTTTTAGCTGCTTTGACCTACAAAGGATTTGATTTCAGACTCCTGAAAATGTGTCAGTGGCACCACTTGGTTATAAAAAGTTAAATGGTAAAAACTGTTTGAATTAACTGATTACTGGATTGACTTGATTTCCAAGATGGTGGACTTAATTTGCAGAAACCAACTCTTAAACATGGTCCTATAGGGTAGATTCAGAAGAAATGCTAATGAGATTCCTAATATATAACTCTTCCATTTGGAGATAAGCTCAAGAACTCTGAGTGATGGGCTATTTGTCTTTGCCCTACTATGTTTATAAGATGTCTTTTGCAGTATCTGTTGTGATTTATCCTTTTATTATGTCATTTCAAGCTTAACTTTTGCTGAAATAGCATTTGAGGTCATCTGTATATAAATATATATGTAACTAATTTTATACTCTGCTTTCCATTATAGTAACTACCTTTCAAAATATTTCTTCTCTTGCTCTCACAATGACATGTTCCATACATGTGTATATTTTAACACATTTGTGCTCAGAAATGAATATGTACAGTTATTTGTTCAGTGCCTCAGTCTTGATGCCTTTTCTTGAGAATTTGCTGGGTGCCCACTGTGTGGCACTGTACATGTCAAGATCACCAAAAGTGCTTATCTGGTTTCACTGTGCAGCCTCTGGACTTACTGACACAATTTTCATTCATTACTGTGTTAAATTTAAATTTTAAAATAAACTACTTGTACATTTTATTGTTTTGTAGTGTTTTTTTCCTTATTTCATTGTCTTTCAAATAATTGTTAGATTTTAGCCATTATTTACTGTTTGTGTACAACTGTTTGACATTCGACATTGGTCGGCTTTCTTTTTTTGGGGCGTAGTTTGTTCATCACATGCAAATAGTCTTGTGGTAACCTAACATCATTTGTTAACTGTTAATATCTTAAAGACTAAAATGCATGTTTTGCTGTTTTAACTGAAATATTTTAATATGTCGGTGCCAATGTTTTGTCTCAAGATTCACACCAGTAATGTTTTTTTCTCTCTCTTTCTCTCTCTCTCTCTAGGGCATGTTTAAAAAAAGCTACTTAAATGCCCTATTTGAACTAAAACCTAATCCTGGCTTAATCTTAAACCCTGTCTCTGAAACTGGGAATTCACAGGGTTTTGTTTGGGGTTAGTAGCATGTAATTTATAGTTACTAATTAGTTATTATGGTAACCTAAGAATGACACTGTAAAATAAAGTGTTACCAATTTTTATAATCTCTTTTTGTACATAAAAGCCCTCGAGCTACCCATCAGTCTTCTATTCAGGAAGTCACTTTGTGAATACTGATTTTTATTGATAAACCGTTGAAAATGTGTGTATCTAATTAAATAGTTCATTCCTCAAAGCCTATGTTAGGGTGATCATCAGTCCCCTCATAATTCATGCACTGGATGACATGGTACACCGGAATCCCCCATTACACTAGTGTGCGTAGAACTACACCTCCCAGATTGTGTTTACTCTCTGCTCCCATAATAGCAACAGCCTTAAGTTGTATCGCACTGCCAGTTCAACACGTTCTGTATACTGCGGCACAACGAGGTTCAGGTAACATTTTGTTTATGGTAACGTTAGTTATATATTGTGAAAATATTACCAAATTATATGAGTGAACTCGTCCAAGCTTGAGTTAACAGTGTCAGTGACTGATGCTGATATTTAAAGTATAAAAAGTTTTTATTTCAAGATAATAAGCTGTATCGTGTTACATAAATATAAATTCTTTATATTTTTACTTATTTACCGAGCAAAGTTATGTTGTGTTTTCAGTCGATGTTGTATCACTTTTGTTTAGTACGCCCGAGACTAAATGAAAGTGAAAGGACGTCACTCAAAGGCAAAATCAACCACCACTGGCTTTAAATTAGTCCATTGTTTAAATTAGTACGTTTTAGCTAACTGTGTGATTTGTATGTACATTATAGGCTACATGACAGTTCTGATAATAGAGTACTCAAAATGAAATTGCAATGTGGACTCATGGATTTTCTAAGCTGATTTGAAACGATCTAACGTTACATGTGAAAGGCGCTATTCAAATAAATGTGACTTGAATTTTTGATAAACTCTTTGGACGAATTGAGGTGACCGTTCTGACCCCCATAAATGCAGAGATGAACGACGGAACGGAGGATAAGACGGTTCCCGTTGTGATGGAGACCTCGTCATACTCGCAGGTAGTTTTCAACGATGTTCCTCCATCATATCCGCCAAACACCGCGATTTCGTGCCAGTACACGGTCACCGGTGATCTGCAGCCCACCCCGAGGGACTGGATCGGTATCTACAAGGTTAGTAATTATTAATAACATAAAATCTTGGACAGTTTACTGACAGCTATTTCCTGATAATCAATTTATTAATATCATTATTATCATCATCACATTTTTTGCATTTTATTATGGATAAAAGTTGTCTTGTATTGCATTCAAAGAAGTTTCATTTAAATCTGTGAAATTGTTCAGGTTGGCTGGAATTTGACGCAGCAGTATTATAGCTATGAATGGGTGAAACCTTGCCCGGACCATATCGGACCAGAACCGATTGTGCATCAAGTGGTTTTCAAAGGTAGGAATTCATCCTCTTCTCCAAAGGGACATAACACTCCACCTTTTATATTACTATTTTGTTTATCATAAATTTCCAGTTTGTTCCATCCATGACCTGAACTGGTGATTGGTGCCACAAAATATTAAAACCTAAATCTAATATAATCATGTTTGTGACATATTCAACTAGATTAGCAGGCAGTTGCGGCCTTACAGGGCTAACCCTTTAAGCATCTGGGGGCCCGTTTCAATCACTAATATGGGGCCCTACCCACATAAAACATAAACATAATAGAGCAGAAAAAGCAAGGATTCCTGTTGGTTTGCAGTAATGGTATATTATTTTATGACATGCACTTTCAGCTTCATGAACAGCCAGTTGAACATAAAAATAATCCAACCTTATATGATTAAAACTATATACAATTATACAGCGATTTAAGTTGGAATAAGCCTCGCCCTTTCACACAGGGCAACTTCAATTTTGGTAGAGTGAATAAAGCTTTTCTTTTGTTGTCCGATATCTTTCATTTTTCAGCACCACTGGTATATGTACATTTAATTTCTTCTTAAGATATTTTTTCTGCTCAAAATAATATTTTAATCTAACGGCAAAAAAGGCAAAGGTATGAATACATTAACTACCGATATTATTTCAAATCGCTTAAGCCGTTCGTGGGGGTGGTAAACGTTGCCAATGTGAGTTCTACCAATCAGAGACAGTGTTTTGCAAATAACAAGGTTGATTGATTTCGTAGCTTATGGCTTTTATAGGAGCAGAAACTTTCATTTCACAACCTCGTGGTCAATCTAGTTTGAATGGTTTAGACATTATGGCTGAAAATCAATATGGAGAAAATGAATGGGATTTTGCTAGTCTGTTGGGTAACATGGGTAAGGCCGTCCCTGAACGGAGGACTTGATGTGTCCTAGGTGTCTGTAGTTGCATAAACGCTAAGACTTTGCAGGAGACTATACAAGTACAGTGCTGGTTTTGTTATCAAATATTTTTTCTTTAAGACTGTTCATAACTTTTTTTTAAAGCGTAAAAAAGTAGGTGGGTCTAATTGACATCAAAAAATACGACTGACTGCCCCTTGACTTATACTTTTTTTAGATACTTGATCTTTTACTAGATCTTATCTCTCTACTGCATGCATTTTGATGGCACATGGGAAAAAAATATTCCCCATCATTTCTTGGCTCATTTAGGAACATTTTATTGATTTATTGAAAATGTCCCTATATAGAGGTGGTGGCGCAGTGGATAAGACACATGCCTTTAGTGTGAGAGACCTGGGTTCGACTCCACTGTGAGACACAAATGTGTCCCTGAGAAAGACACTTAACCCCTAGTTGCTCCAGAGGCGTGCGACCTCTGACATAAGCAATTGTAAGTCGCTTTGGATAAAAGCGTCAGCTAAATGAATAAATGTAAATGCACAGGGATGGTATAATGTCCTTTTCACAAGATGTAAAATAAGTCTTTGTGATGTCCCCAGAGAGTTTGTAGTTTTAGCCCATAATACGACACAGATATTTTTATAAAGCACGTCAAAATTGTCCCTTCGAGGGTGAGCAAAAACACACAGATTTTGTGTCTGTTCCTTTAAATGCAAATGAGCTGCTGCTCCCAGCACAGGGGGTGGAGTTTGTCGAAACCTTTAAGCCTTTTATGTTCAAACCGGAGTCAGACAAAGTTGGAGAGACTCAAGAAGAAGTGACAGCATGTACAAGCAACTGGACATTTCTGAATGGTTAGTTTATGAATGTATGGAGCTTATGTGTATAGTCATTGATTAGCACTGTCTTGATAATCTATAAATCGCGTTCCCCGGGCAGGGTTGTTGTTTAGTACCAGATGTTGTTGTATGTATGCTCAAGCAAGCAACATTACACACTAACTTAAGTTAGAAAAGTGAAATCATAATCAACCACCCCTTTAAGACACTGCTTTAATATAATGGCTGTGTTTATGCAACTGGCCCCTGGTTTAATTACTGTGCATCAATGCCATAGATGTGACGTTGTGCTGCTATTTTAGTAAAGGCAGAACAACTTACTTGAGTGGTCCACATCTACTCATCCTGCTACTCAGGGGTCCTAAATCAAGGAACCTTGTGATGTGTCAAGTGTCTCAAGAATTTGGTTTGCTGCCATGCACCACTTTCTTGGCAGTTTATTAACTGTGGAGGGAGCAAAAGAGTGAGGATTACTCGAGCATGGCGGGGTAGTTTTTTCATATCAAAAACATTTTTCATTTATCTTGCTCTCGAGTGATACGGTAGACATTATACTTTGGACCTTACTAGGGATGCACTCATAAACAATAAATGAATATAACATGATATACTATTTGTCAAAAAAAAAAATTAAAAAATATAATACTAAAAACTAAAGTCTCTTTAAATGTGACTGCTGATTTGGCTGAAAAAATTGCTGATTTTGGTTTGGAGTGGGCATAAAAGAAGAACATATTGTATATAAATATCATATACATAGTTCAGTGTAATGATAACATTTGCCCTCTTTAATGCTGTTAAACTGAATGTACAAAGCAAACTATTTGTTAAAAATATCCACAACTTAACGCTGAAATTGGAACGCAGTTTGGCTCTCAAACATTCAATTGCATGTGAATGTTACTTTCATTACTATAGTAGGTAATACACACACACACACACACACACACACACACACACACACACACACATTATTTAAACACATATATATGTGTAATAGTGGATTTAACATTCAAATTTAACTTAATAATAAAAGGTAAGTTCTTAAAGTAACCTTCACCTATTAAAAACTTTAGTCAGTTCAAGAATAATTAATACAATTTAATATTATTTACTTGATAGAATTAGAAAGAGCAGTTTCATGTGTATCCTTGTATTGTTCAGCTGGTCGAGGTTGATATGGGATTTAGAAAGTAATTATTAAGTTCAAGAGATAATTTTGTACAGTAATATAATTAATTGCACTGTTGAAAATGTATTTAGATAGTAATGACTTTTTTAGAGTAACTTACCCAACACTGTGTGTGTGTGTACCCTATATTAAATTCTGATGACATTGAAACTCTACATGATACAGATTTGTTTGTTCTCAGAGAGCTACCTGCCCAAGGATGATGGAGAGTTTTATCA